GTGCTCCAATCAGTGTCCTCGGAAGTGGACCAGGAGATGACAGCCAATGATGTTGGGGCAACCACACAGCTCATTTACATAATCACACACAGCTGCAGGCAATCCCAAACAGGTTACCGAGCAGGCAGAAACAGCAGCCGTAACAGGGAGTTTCTCTCTCACACACTCTGAAACACCTCCATTGGACCCCTTTGTTTACTTAGCGTACTGAAGTCATTTGTAAAACTTGCGCCTCTATTGGCTAGTCCAACACGCTAAAAGGCGGGTCCTTTCTGACACATCTCTAAGCAGTTGACCAATCACAACAGAGCCGGCCAGCTAACCGATCAGAGCAGACTGGGCTCTGGTTTCAGACAGAGGGTGAAAAGCAGCATAGGCAGTAGCCTATAGACTGCTGTGCTTTTTTACAGGCTGTCAATATCATTACTTACGTGTCTCTGTTGTGATGAAAGTGGCTGTTTCCCAAAATAAAGTGAAACAAATGAAGCTCTGTTCCCCTCACTCAGTTATGAACTTCCAAAAACACTTCTGATGATGAGTACCAAACCCTTTATTGATACAACTATGAGATTCGGGAACTGCTTTGAATTGTTTGAATGTCAAATACAAAATAAATCTCTCTTTGGATGAAATCACTTTTTGAAGTTGGCACATCCATTTCTCTCTGCTGATTGCACTCTTCTCATCAAGAATAACAAACCTCTGATCTTTGAGGTTGTTTCAAAGTTTCAGGCACCTGATAAATGATGTAAAGTGGAGGCACACAAACACAAAGCAAGGTCAGGTGCAGATGACGGTCACTCGTTTATATTCAAACTCAATGTGATTAGTGGAGGAGTTTCTTTGTGCCGCAGATGGTGAGTCAGCTCTTAAACTCATCTGTAACATGAGTCAGATCTTTAGAGATGTTAACACACACAGTTGACATGGATTTATATAGATAATTAGTTTGTGATAGGAGGACACTGTTCTGATGAAACTCAATGCCTCTACGGTAAAATCATTACATGAACCTTTTTTTTATAGAATTGTTGGTGTTTTTATTCACCTTAAAAACACACAAAACAAGCAGAGCTACTGTATGTTGAATCTACTACTGAGGTTCATGTTCTCCTTTATAAACCTGCAAGACAAATATAACACTAAAGTCTTAATTATGCTTTACCAACACAACAAATGTTACTTTCAAAAGAACAGAAACTACGGTATAACAGACTATATGTAAAGAAGTACTTCCTGAATCAAGGACAATATATAACTTCAAAAAGACCTGTTGTGCTTTTTGGAGTTTTCCTTTTCTGTAGTGTGTCATAGGTTTTTGGTGCATGTAAATGGTCTGCAAAGGATGAAATCCCAGCTAACCAATCAGAGCAGACTGGGCTCTGGTTTCAGACAGAGGGTGAAAAGAGGTGCTGCAGCACAGGCAGTATGAGAAAAACAAATAGCTTTCTGAACATTAAAGCATGGAGACATGTCACAGTAGTAGAGGCAAAACATTTCCTTTTGAAACCTGAAATGAGCACAATGGGTCCATTGTAATGATGATTTACTGGAGAACAGATTTGAAGATACTAACAAATGAACCATTATGTAATGATGAGGTTCAACATGCTTCAATAATGATCTCCAAAGATGCCCCACGCTCTCCTATTGGCCAAGGTATCTCCTGTCAAATTGGGAAACCAGATTACGCACACACAGCTTCTCTATACATGTTTGCAGATTCCACACAATCACAAATATCAGTTTGGATTTCACGATTATTTACAAATCGGATTACTCACACACTGATTGAAATACTGCTCCAACTCTGCACACATATCTGCGATTAGATCTGCCACGATTATTGCTGCATAGTATTCCTTCAAATCTTATATGTTTGGTTTTGGGTATACAGTAGGGTAGTAAAAACGGAAATGACACCCCCCAACATTTGTATATCTCTTAGTGCATTGCAGAGTTAATCTAGGTCAATTCCACGCTTCTCACAACATAGATTTAGCATTGTTGGAAAATATGTCATTATAAAATGCAGCACCTCTGGCTTTTATTTCAAGCAGGCATGAAACAGTTTTCCAGCCGACGATGAACTACGCATTCTTCCAACATCTCCCAATTCATGTGATACTTTCCACACATGGCTGCAAACAGGTCTTCAAGACAAGGCATTGACATTTCCTCAAGTGAAGTTCAGAAAGTCAGGAGTATATTTGTTTGATTTTCTACTTCAACGCTCTGCAGGATGATACAGTCTGAGCCTCAGTGAACAAACAGCTAATCCATCAGAGCCAATGAATTAAGTGATATTGGATTTATACTTTAAGAGTAGAAGAATACTGTTATTAGTCTCACTGTCAGAAATAATTGAGCCCATTGTCTCTGTCCTGCTGCTCTACAGCTGCAGGCAGTAGGCTAATTTATGCAGAAACATAATGGTCTCGTGAAATACAGCGGAGACTCCCCGAGCAACTAAACACAGGGAGCAAATATACATCAATGGCAAAGAGAACAAAGATATTCTGACGGCTTCTTTCTTTTTTAATGCAGATTATTCTGCATGGCAACGAGGATTTAATTACTGCAGCATGCCTCACCTGGAAGCGATCTCATATCAAAAAGGGAATTTCTTTGGTGAATGACATCTTTCTGCACCTGCACCTCAAATGAACCGCTGTTGAGTCTGAAACACTTTGAGCGATGACACATATATTGCTTTTATAGCAACGTTAACCCATGACTTAATACAAATTAGATTATAAAGAAATAAGTTATTTACAGGATAAAAATATAAATTCTATTCTAAAAAAAAAAGTATAATAAAATAAATACGTTTTAAAGAAATACGCTTAATTAAAGGAATCATAACACATACAATAATTGGGCAGGACAATATGAGAATAAAATTCCAAGGAAATAAATACATTTCATTTATATTTTACAAATGTCTTGTTTTTTTATTCATTTATTTCCATGTTTACCTTTTTATTATTATAGTCCTCCATGTTTGTTGCACACACAATACTGAAATAAGAAAGAAAAGAAGAGCAACAACAATGGTTTCCTGAAGCTATAGCAGAAATACTGAACATATAAAAGGGAATACAAACAATGTCCATCGCGAAAAGCCATTTAAACGTTTTAAGAATATTTTATAATTACAGTCATTCAAATATTTCAAATGTTTTATCACTTTTTTGGACCGTGCTGGTTCCCATTTCATATGCATACAGCTTGCATACTTACACAATTCATCAGAGAGGAGGAAAATGTGTCATTGCAGTATGGAATTATCATTAATATCATTAATACCAGAGAAAAACTATCTCAGCATATGTTCAATGTCATATTTCATGGGAGTTATGTAAAGAAAAAGTAGGCTAATGAAAAAAGCGGCATTATGCATAGAAAGAAATAATTGCATGATTCGTGATTATTCCAGAATATGGAAAAACATCACACAATACACTGAAGTGTAAACATATGTATAGTCTGCAGATGGACATGCATACGATTACAGTCAGCCATGTGTTGTGCATAATGCCACTAAAGATTATAGATTTAATTTAAACATTGTAAAGTCCTTAATGACATGTTTATTTTATTCAAACAAGCGATTGACATGTGCACTCTGAACATAATAAACAATATATTATATATTTAAGGAATGTTACCTTACGCAGGATTTGAATGTACGCCTTTCAGTTGTAACTGCTCTAATGGTACACATCAGAAAAATAATGTTACTTTTATTTGTTGAAGTAGTAATCATATACAGTACCTACATAACATGCACACTTTCCTTATGTCAAAATAATTTAGTGATGATAACATTTGGATCCTACTTGGATATTTGGTTGAAAAGCTTTAAAAATAGAAATGCCATATTTCTATGGCTTTTACACTTCTCATGTTTCCTCCTCATTCAGACATCTCTGGGTCCACATTTGGAAATGCAAAACACAGAAACGTTATTTTGAATAGATGATGGTATTTAAATAGCCTCCATATTCTCGATGCCTGAGTATCTGGGAGATTTGTCTCTAATAGCCATTTATTTGACCACATCAGATGATTTGACAGCAGAAAGCAGCATGTAAATATCCATGGAGTCTATGGTAAATACTGACACCGTGTGGAAAGAGGAGGGAACATGCATTTAAATACAACTATGCTTTTAACTCTACTATCTGACAGCTTCATTTTGCAGATTCAGAAGACATATACAAGTATATGCACAACAATATACATCAATTCCATTAGAAGTTAAGCTACCCAGCAGTATGCACCCATTCAAATGTGTTATTTCACTACCAGCTAGTGAGTAAGTGAGTGAACACTTACCCAAATAATATGGGAATGGGCCATTCATCATAATGCTACAGTCTTGATTGTTTTGAATTTCGGTAATTCAAGTATATTTTATGCTACTACTTTGTTTTTCCTCAGTGAACTTTAAGAGTACATTGAAGTGTAGCTACTTCTATTTATATGCTATTTCCAAGTGCTCTTTCATCCACTGGATTCATGTAAACTTGTATTCTTTCCAATGTAGTGGAGTAGAAGTAAACCATTAGAAAATGGAAATACTCAAGTAGGCCTACTACAAAGATGTGACTCAATCAAAGTGTATGTTTATAGCCCAATATCACAAATGTTACATTTGTCTCAGTGGACTTTACAGTTTGTACAGAATATGAATACGACACCCTCTGTCCTTGGAATACTTCTCCCATCACTTGACATAGAACAACCAACCAACAAAATGCACTCTTTTATAACGTTATATAAAAAGACATTGGTCATGTTTCCGACAGCACATGAAGGCACCACTGGCCCTGGTAATCCATCACAAACGTCTAGACTAGACCGTGAAGATTCTGCCGTCACCCAACTGACACCCCTTCTCTGATTGGACAATGATCTGATCCCGCCTTTTATTTTTTGATTGATAGCCTAATGACGAATAGCAATAGGCAACGAGCTGTCATCTAACTTGTGATTGGTTTAGCGGTACGGACAATATCAATGGTAACTTGTATTGTTCGACGTCTTCCCAAGACAGTAGCAACTTTAGGGTTTCCAACTACGAGAAAGTCGTTTTTATAGTTTTCTCCAGCGGTTTTGCTATTTTCATTAAGCGACAAACTTTGGTCGGTAGTCATACCATCATATACAGATGAATTAGAGGACATTGGTCAACATTGCGTCGAAAGAAGCGATCTGTTAAACGTAAGTCATAGCTTTGTTATGTTTGCCTCAGCTGGGATTTAAATGGTTAACGCCAAACTCCGTTAGCTGGACTTGCTAATGTATTCATCTTTAAAAGCCAAGCACATTCATAACATAATTATGCTGTCTTGTTTAACACTCTGTTGTTAATAGTTTTAGCTTATTTTATGCAATGTTTATAGAAGCAGGTGTTTGTTACTCGTGATAATGAGGGTATGGATTACCCGTTATCTTCAGGGCAAGGCTTGCTTTAGGTTCCTGTTTAGTGGAGCTTGCTCTGACCAGACTCCGTATACATCTTGTATCTAAAATACTTCAGGAGTAGCTTGAGATACATTTGATTAACTTTGAGGTATGACAATATGTATTCTCAATCGATATTAACTTTTCTTTAATTCGGCATGAAGAAAAATAAGATGTATTATTGGTTGAAACTTATTAGCTGCTTTTTCTCTGTTATCTCTGCTACTAAAAACATCGTCAACATCATGGGTGACGGTGACTACCGAAATGTATACTAAGATTTAATCTGCAACGTTGTGCATTGATGGTTAAATCACTTTGCCGAATTAATGTGGAGATCCTGGTGAATATGATGTCCTGTTTTGAGATCATTTCTCATTTCTCATTCAACAGTGTCACGTTAACTTTAAATCGACAGATTTCGAAACGGACTTTCAACCGACCTTACCTTGTCTAAATGGCTTGTTTTAAATTGATCCACAGGCCAGTGTTGGTGTGCTGAGTGGAGACTCACCTCTCCCCCTGGGCCGGGCTGGAGATGGGGGATCCGAAGCCTCCAGAGTTTGGGTCCCTGGAGGAAGAGCTGGGTTACTGGAAGGAGCAGGCTGCCACCCACCAACAGAGGTGTGTACCCCTCTGTGTTTGTTATTTTTTAAACTGACCTCAGACACCACCACTCCTGCCTCCTGCACTGCACAAAGATGTGAAAGTGCTCCGTAATTATATAAAAAATGCAGTTCTTCCTTAGTTTTTGTTGCATACTGTGACGTATTTCATAATGTTTTTATGCCTCAGAGTCCTTCAAAATGGCCTTTTTTACTCTTTTTTTTCTCACAACTTCTGGGGCCCCGTAGTAAATTCTGGAAAAATAATCAACTTTTTTTCCCCCTCTCCAGTTAAGTTTGTAGAAAAGTGAGTCACCGGGCAATCCTGCAAGACAAACAGTCATGATTCTCAAGGTGTTTTCCTATTAAACACATTTCTGTGATTTTAAGACTTTACGATTTAATTGATAATGCCCAAACTTCCTGTGGTTTGGTGGGAAACTCGTCAGGTTTTGTTGTTTGTCCAAACAGGTCGGGTTTAGAATGATGTTGGAAACCTTCCTCTTCACCAAGTCTTGGTCTAACTGGTTTACTTCAAACATGAATGTGATTATTAGGGATTACTAACATGAATGATAGCTCAAATATATGGCTTATATTCTGCGTATGTTTGTGCAGTGCGGAGGAAGCCCAGGAGGAACTGCAGGAGTTCCAGCAGATGAGTCGGGACTACGAGGGTGAGCTGGAGACGGAGCTCAAACAGTGTGAGGATCGAAACCGTGAGCTGCTCTCCGCCAACAACCGCCTCCGCATGGAGCTGGAAAACTACAAGGTAAAGAGGAAATCATCAGTTATTAGATACTGTTCAACATCCTGCATACAAACTTACAAATAAAGACATAGTGGTAGAGAGTTTACCTAACCCTCTCAGAATATGTAATACCAGTCAGGAAGGTATTTAAATAACGTTCAACAAACTGTTAAGTGCATTTGACTGGGGATTTCCATATCTATCAGCTGATAAAAGGGTAGGTTTCATGGCTCCTGTTGCCTCTGCTCTCTGGGCTTGACTGGTGCTCTTGTCTGAACACACACACACACACACACACACACACACACACACACACACACACACACACACACACACACACACACACACACACACACATACATATATATATATATATTGCACAGAGGATTTATTCAGAGCAGAACGAGGCAGCTGATGACTCTACACGGTCTGTGTCTGGAGGGGATGGCAGTGCTTCTCATAAGATCTACCCCAGTTATGAAGCAGTTCTCTCCTTTTCAAACATGTTAGTATATCCTTCTGCTATCATTCAAGAGGTATGTGCAGGGACAGTGGCTCGAGACGGAGAGTGATTGCTTTACATTTCAGTCAGTCTGTTCAGGGTCCCCGGAGCAAGTGGTGCAGGCTGACAGTGAGGTCATTGCAACATGTGTGGAGGCTGCACTGTCTCCAGCAATCCAGCATGTGGTTGTGCACTCCCCATTTGTGTAACTAGGCGTTTTTTATCAACATTTCATAGGGAACATTGAGACTTATTATAATTATGTAACATTTAATATAAAGAGCCGCCTTTATTTGTGTCTTATTGTCTTGTCTGGCTCTGTCACTATAAACAATGTCCAACAGCCAAATCAAGCCTCATTTGTAAAATAACATTAGGCTTTGAAGATCACAGTCAGAAAGCTAAAATAAAGTTTAAATAGTTTGATAATCTTTATCACTGGAACGTTCCCCAAGGGATACTTCACTCACACAATGAGTATTGGCATATCAAACGCTCAGCTTGTGTTGCTTTGAATTCTTGAGGAAAACATTGGACCTCATTAAACAATGTACTTCTAACTTAAGTCTTACATTTGTTCTTGAGAAAAGTCTATGGCGGAAGTGTTCCCACCTGTTCTCCTGATGAATTGTCCTTATTAAAAGCATGTGCCAGCTGATCCTAATTAGCAGGTTAACGCCTGATAACGACCATAAAAGGGTATCATACTGCAGTGTGTGTGTGTGTGCACACACACACACACACACACACACACACACACACACACACACACACACACACACACACACACACACACACACAAGGCTTGTTTGAGATGAGCCGCGGCTCGCCTCGAAAGTAGATGAGAATAGCCGATTGCAGGTCTCAAAAAGCTCGCCTGAAGTCGGACAGCGCGGCGTCGGCTTCCTAGTATCTCTTACCCCCCCCCCCACCTTCTGTTCCCAGTATCCCCATTAGGCTCCACTCCCTTCCTGCCTCTCTGCTAGTGAATTATCCTACCGGCCCACTTCGGTAAAACTCCTGGTATTCCCGAGGGCCAGTCCGCCCCTGATTGTAGCCCAATAATTGCTGCTAGTATTTCTGCTGTATAAACTGATAAGTTATGTGACACTCGTTTTGAGATTGATATTTTGAATTCTGGGATATACACGCCTATCCCCACGCATTCTTGCTTCTTAGATCCATCTGTATACATTTTGAGGTAATTGTAATACTTTTCGTTCGGGTACATACTCGTTTTAATTCCCACTTCATTTATTTGCCACTGTTTTTTCCTTTCTATGATACTCACATCTATATTAGCTTCTGGGGAAAGCCATGGGGAAACACGGCTAAATGGGCTTGCTTTGGCAAATGTTATGGTCTCCACTCCACATGCCCTCGTTCTCTCCTTACTTGTCCAGCCAAACCCACGCCCCTGGAACTTTGTATATTCCCAGCGATCCTGTAGTATTCTGTTTGTGATATTTTCTTCTCCACTTCCTTGTAGCCTGACCCAGTAGGCCTATGACAGAGCAAGTTTCTCTCTTCTAAAGAATGCACACATGTGTTTAATCGTTAATGTCAGATATGTACTGTATAAGTAAATACATTTGTTCCTGCTCAAGATTAGATTCAACTTTATTGTTATTGCACAGATTACAGGTACTGAGACAACGAAATGCAGTTTAGCTTCTAACCAGGTGCAACAAGCAGTAAAGTGAAAAGTAATGTACACAATAGACAGAATAAAATATAGAATGAATTGAATGATGAATAAACAGTGAGGGCTATGAATACACTAGATATACACAGCAGCCTGAGAGCAGTATGAACAGTGTGTATGCATATGCTAAGATATATAAATTGTGAAAACGGTAAGCAGTGCAAGTATAGTATAACATATATAGATATTAATTTCATGATGATAAACATTGTGGAACAATGATGAAAAATGTGACTGGAAGTGGCGACGTAAAACTGACACAAAACAACAACATTTGCTTTTGGAGAGTTTCATCAGGAGCACGGGGTAAAAACCACCAATGAGCGCTCAGCTCGAGATACCAGCGAGTCGTTTCCCATCAAGCATTTAGCTTCCGCAGCCCGTGGAGAGGAACTGCGTCGCGCCGCCTCGCCGCGCCTCGCTCTCAAGGCTGCGGGCGTCTTTGTCCCGCGAGATTTCAACGTCTCATGTAGGCGAGCCTCCAGAGCAAGTCGGACAAAATGACTAACCATCATGCAACGCACTAGCAAGACGGCGATCGCAATTGTGCAGGTCTGCGTCGGTCTCGCTCATCTCAAACAAGCCTACTGAAAGGTTAAAGGCTTCAGAGGGTGGAGCAACATTTATACATAAACAAAAAGATATGTTCTGAGGTGGAGCTACTTCTGCAGATATAATGGTCGTTTTCAGCAACGTCACTAGTGGTTAGATAGATTGAAAGATACTTTATTGATTCCAAATTGGACAACTCTTGTGTTACAGGAGTGTGTTTAGGCCATTTTAGGCCTTAAAATATAAAAAAATTGAGTAAAGTATAGACATAATAAAATATACAGCACATTTTAAATATAAACAAATATAAAATATCAATTGCGTTGGATGATATAACCGATTACACTATAAGAGTTGAAGTGTTTGTGTAGTATTTATTAATTTTAAAAGACCACTATGTTTTGTAAACAATGAAAATGAGTATAAAAATATATATAAATGAATAAATCCTATTTTACAAACCTTTAGAATAGAACAAAACAACCTACGTGACGAAAAGAGTTGCACTAAAATGTCAGCACTCAACCTATCTTAGGCCAAATCCTAGGTCAGAAGAAATTACAACGTTATTTATTATATAACTATATCATATCCTATATACAGTGGGGCAAAAAAGTATTTAGTCAGCCACCAATTGTGCAAGTTCTCCCACTTAAAAAGATGAGAGGCCTGTAATTTTCATCCTAGGTACACTTCAACTATGAGAGACAGAATGGGGGGAAAGAATCCAGGAAATCACATTGTAGGATTTTTAATGAATTAATTGGTCAATTCCTCGGTAAAATAAGTATTTGGTCACCTACAAACAAACAAGATTTCTGGCTCTCACAGACCTGTAACTTCTTCTTTAAGAGCCTCCTCTGTCCTCCACTTGTTAACTGTATTAATGGCACCTGTTTGAACTCGTTATCAGTATAAAAGACACCTGTCCACAACCTCAAACAGTCACACTCCAAACTCAACTATGGCCAAGATCAAAGAGCTGTCAAAGGACACCAGAAACAAAATTGTAGACCTGCACCAGGCTGGGAAGACTGAATCTGCAATAGGTAAGCAGCTTGGTGTGAAGAAATCAACTGTGGGAGCAATTATTAGAAAATGGAAGACATACAAGACCACTGATAATCTCCCTCGATCTGGGGCTCCACGCAAGATCTCACCCTGTGGGGTCAAAATGATCACAAAAACGGTGAGCAAAAATCCCAGAACCACACGGGGGGACCTAGTCAATGACCTGCAGAGAGCTGGGACCAAAGTAACAAAGGCTACCATCAGTAACACACTACGCCGCCAGGGACTCAAATCCTGCAGTGCCAGACGTGTCCCCCTGCTTAAGCCAGTACATGTCCAGGCCCGTCTGAAGTTTGCTAGAGAGCATTTAGATGATCCAGAAGAGGATTGGGAGAATGTCATATGGTCAGATGAAACCAAAATAGAACTTTTTGGTAAAAACTCAACTAGACGTGTTTGGAGGAGAAAGAATGCTGAGTTGCATCCAAAGAACACCATACCTACTGTGAAACATGGGGGTGGAAACATCATGCTTTGGGGCTGTTTTTCTGCAAAGGGACCAGGACGACTGATCCGTGTAAAGGAAAGAATGAATGGGGCCATGTATCGTGAGATTTTGAGTGACAACCTCCTTCCATCAGCAAGGGCATTGAAGATGAAACGTGGCTGGGTCTTTCAGCATGACAATGATCCCAAACACACCGCCCGGGCAACGAAGGAGTGGCTTCGTAAGAAGCATTTCAAGGTCCTGGAGTGGCCTAGCCAGTCTCCAGATCTCAACCACATAGAAAATCTTTGGAGGGAGTTGAAAGTCCGTGTTGCCCAGCGACAGCCCCAAAACATCACTGCTCTAGAGGAGATCTGCATGGAGGAATGGGCCAAAATACCAGCAACAGTGTGTGAAAACCTTGTGAAGACTTACAGAAAACGTTTGACCTCTGTCATTGCCAACAAAGGGTATATAACAAAGTATTGAGATTAACTTTTGTGATTGACCAAATACTTATTTTCCACCATAATTTGCAAATAAATTCTTTAAAAATCAGACAATGTGATTTTCTGGATTTTGTTTTCTTCTCATTTTGTCTCTCATAGTTGAGGTATACCTAGGATGAAAATTACAGGCCTCATCTTTTTAAGTGGTAGAACTTGCACAATTGGTGGCTGACTAAATACTTTTTTGCCCCACTGTAATTATTAAAGTCCAAAAAGTGTTAAAACGTTAAACAAATTGACAGATTTATTTATTTTCAAGTGTAAGTTCTAATAATGTGAACTTTTAACTCAGTAAATACTAAATCTGACACTGTGTTGAGAGGGGAAGGAGCTTAACACTCTCAGAGCAGTTGAAGGGGTTTGTCTGAGATTGCATGTATGTGCAGTATGCAGAGACTTCATGGAATTTAGCGAAAGCATGCTGAAGCTTGACCTGTTCTCACACACTGCCTCCTGGGAGCCCAGTACTAACCATATATACAGTCTATGGTACTAACATATATTTTACATTAAAAAACTAATGTGTATAAATATCCAGAACCACATAAGCCACGAGACAATGTTCATTATGTTTTGATTTCTGCTGTCAATGTTTGATATTCTATACAACACATGATGTCTGTGCACCAAAGTATGTTCTTAGGCTTGTACCTTTTACATTATACTTTTAATCACACTGACATGTTTTCAAACATCAAAGTTGTTTTTGGTTAAAGGTGGGGTAGGTTATTCACTTCAGAAACACTTTGTGTTATAGTCCATGGAATGCTCTTAACATCCCGATAGCAATGAATATCTTAAGTGCTTTGACAACAAATCCATAACAAAATGTGATCTGTGGAAGCCGTAGTGCTGTAAAAAGCACGACCAATCATCTGAGCCGGCCCGGCTAAAGTAACTGGATGGCCTACCTGCCTGTCAGCCTTCCATCTGTGCACAAACTTATCTCGTGCCCTCATTGGTCATGTGCGTGTTCATGTGTGTTGGAGGAGGGGCTCTGTAAGGAAGTGGCAGATTTGTTCCGGCTGTGTATTTTCTAATTCTAGCGCACTCGAGCTGGTTTCTCCAAAATGACCTACCCCACCTTTAAGCTAAATAGCATCACATTTTCAAAACATTTAAACAATCGTACTATTAATCAGAATTAGTGCCTTACATCAGAGTAAAATATATTAGAAGGTAAAAACATTAGAGCAAATATTCAAACAAAAAGAGATATACAAATAATATGAAAGTATTACAACATAATAAATGTGTGCAAGAAAACAAATGTTAAAAAAAAATACAATAGACATACGACAAACTCCTGTGGAAAAATATTTGTATTGTTTCAAAAATAAGGAGTGATGCCTTTTGAATCTGTAGTCCTTTAACATTCTGTCTCCTCCTGCCACGGTCTGCAGGAGAAGTATGAGACGCAGCACTCGGAGGCCTACAGGCAGATCTCCACCCTGGAGGGGGATCTGGCTGAGACCACCGCCGTCAGAGACCAGCTCCACAAATACATCAGAGAGCTGGAGCAGGCCAACGATGACCTGGAGAGAACCAAGAGGTCAGCGCACAACTTATGCACAATTGTTTGACCACACAAAAATAACTGTTATTTTTTTAAAGGTTTGGATTTGAAATGTAAGCCTTAATTATGAATGTTCTGCTTTCAATGAAACAAGAAACCCATTGCCATATGTGTATGTTGTCCGATATCAAATATTTGAACCTTTTTTAAATTTTATATATAGCAACCATTTTGATATGAATGATTGAAATGTCTGGTCATTTTAGTTCAGATACTTTGAAAGGGCTTGACTAAAAAGCTGTCCAAACTCAAGTTACCTAGGCCAGATCTGCAGAAACGTAGCCTACCAAATCAATGCCTTTGGCTGCCTTTCTAGACCCCCTAATATTTGACCTGAGCTCCACTAACTTCTCATGCTGTGTGTTTCAGGGCGACCATCATGTCGCTGGATGACTTTGAGCAGAGGATGAACCATGTCATCGAGAGGAACGCCTTCCTGGAGAGCGAGCTGGACGAGAAGGAAAACCTCTTGGAGTCCTTCCAGAGGCTGAAGGACGAGGCCAGAGGTACAGAGTGGAGATTAGTTTTACAAACGTGTGCGATATGGCTTAAAAAGAGAAAATGTTCACACTGTCAAATAGAAATCTCATCGATTTCGAGTTTTATAGCAGATTTTCGTTTTTTTGGTTAACCAGTCATTATAAATACAAATATTGCAACATATGTACTTACAGTGGGGCAAAAAAGTATTTAGTCAGCCACCAATTGTGCAAGTTCTCCCACTTAAAAAGATGAGAGGCCTGTCATTTTTATCCTAGGTATACCTCAACTATGAGAGACAAAATGAGGATAAAAAAATCCAGAAAATCACATTGTCTGATTTTTAAAGAATTTATTTGCAAATTATGGTGGAAAATAAGTATTTGGTCAATAACAAAAGTTCATCTCAATACTTTGTTATATACCCTTTGTTGGCAATGACAGAGGTCAAACGTTTTCTGTAAGTCTTCACAAGGTTTTCACACACTGTTGCTGGTATTTTGGCCCATTCCTCCATGCAGATCTCCTCTAGAGCAGTGATGTTTTGGGGCTGTCGCTGGGCAACACGGACTTTCAACTCCCTCCAAAGATTTTCTATGGGGTTGAGATCTGGAGACTGGCTAGGCCACTCCAGGACCTTGAAATGCTTCTTACGAAGCCACTCCTTCGTTGCCTGGGCGGTGTGTTTGGGATCATTGTAATGCTGAAAGACCCAGCCACGTTTCATCTTCAATGCCCTTGCTGATGGAAGGAGGTTGTCACTCAAAATCTCACGATACATGGCCCCATTCATTCTTTCCTTTACACGGATCGGTCGTCCTGGTCCCTTTGCAGAAAAACAGCCCCAAAGCATGATGTTTCCACCCCCATGTTTCACAGTAGGTATGGTGTTCTTTGGATGCAACTCAGCATTCTTTCTCCTCCAAACACGTCTAGTTGAGTTTTTACCAAAAAGTTCTATTTTGGTTTCATCTGACCATATGACATTCTCCCAATCCTCTTCTGGATCATCTAAATGCTCTCTAGCAAACTTCAGACGGGCCTGGACATGTACTGGCTTAAGCAGGGGGACACGTCTGGCACTGCAGGATTTGAGTCCCTGGCGGCGTAGTGTGTTACTGATGGTAGCCTTTGTTACTTTGGTCCCAGCTCTCTGCAGGTCATTGACTCGGTCCCCCCGTGTGGTTCTGGGATTTTTGTTCACCGTTCTTGTGATCATTTTGACCCCACGGGGTGAGATCCTGCGTGGAGCCCCAGATCGAGGGAGATTATCAGTGGTCTTGTATGTCTTCCATTTTCTAATAATTGCTCCCACAGTTGATTTCTTCACACCAAGCTGCTTACCTATTGCAGATTCAGTCTTCCCAGCCTGGTGCAGGTCTACAATTTTCTACCTTTGACAGCTCTTTGGTCTTGGCCATAGTGGAGTTTGGAGTGTGACTGTTTGAGGTTGTGGACAGGTGTCTTTTATACTGATAACGAGTTCAAACAGGTGCCATTAATACAGTTAACAAGTGGAGGACAGAGGAGGCTCTTAAAGAAGAAGTTACAGGTCTGTGAGAGCCAGAAATCTTGTTTGTTTGTAGGTGACCAAATACTTATTTTACCGAGGAATTTACCAATTCATTCATTAAAAATCCTACAATGTGATTTCCTGGATTCTTTCCCCCCATTCTGTCTCTCATAGTTGAAGTGTACCTAGGATCAAAATTACAGGCCTCATCTTTTTAAGTGGGAGAACTTGCACAATTGGTGGCTGACTAAATACTTTTTTGCCCCACTGTATATAAGAACAACTACTCAATTATTATTTAAAGAAGTAAATACAGCGGTTGTTTTTACTGCTTCAAATTAAGATTGAAATGCAATAAGGTATGGTGTTTTCCAGCGAGGGTAGGAAAAGACCGATTATTTAATTAGATTTTCTGGTTATAATAAAATCACAAGTCTCTGTTTCACTTCTGTAACTGTTATTTGTTATTTGATTGGTGTCCCAGACCTGAGGCAAGAGCTTGCAGTGCAGCAGAAGCAGGACAGGAGGCCATCTCTCAGCAATGGAATCAAAGACCCTTCCTCTTCTTCCTCCTCTTCCTCCTCCACCACGGCGGGTCTGCCCACCCCGCCCCTCACCCCCCCGGACAAACGAGCCGAGGACAAAACCACGTCCTCCACCCAGCCCTCCCCCTCGGCCACCACTCCGTCCAGACCTCCAGCCTCAGTGGAGAGCTTCAGCACCTCCCCGCCCTCCGTCAGCAGAGGTCTGGTCATGTGTTCTGGACTAATTATCAACACATCAGTATCAAAGGGTTTCATTTCCATTGGGGACGCCTGTTCACTTTTCAAAGTCCTGTTTTTGTTGGCTCTTTAAAAGTATTTACTCACTCGATGTGTCCTGCCCCCAGGTTTCAGGTAAGAGGGGCAGAAGAAAGGGATTTGTATTTTATCCTGGAGTTTGCCTCTTAGTCAACTTAGAACAGGCTATACTAATATAGATAATTCACAGGATGTAGCTCAAAGGGCTTTCACAGCTTGAACAGCACAAGACAAAAGGAGAATACGTCAATTCAAGTCAGACATATTGTATAAACTAAATGTAAATAGGAATATATGAACTAAAGTAGAGTTAAAATTACAAAGGTTTAGTTTTACACTCAATAAAATTGAACCTAAGTCAAAGATAAAGGCTTTTCTTTTTGTATTAAAGATGGAAATACAATCATAAAGTATCAGGCCTTTATCAAGAAAACTTAACTTAAGTGGAAGTAAAATGTGTGCATTGATATTACAGAAATGTACATACTCTCCGATTTGTTTTGTCTTTAACTCCAATATTATAACAATTAACCATTTTCATAACGACAATATTAGGATAAAGATTGATATTCCTTACTTACTTACACATTGAAACTTAAAGGTCACCTATTATGCGAAATCCACTTCTTCATGTCTTTCATACATAAGCATGAGTCCCCTCTGTGTAAAGAGACTCTGAAAGTTTCAGGACAAAAGATTCTCTCTCTTTTTGTCCTGATCCATTTATATAACAACCTGTCTGAAAATGAGCTGGTCAGATTTTGGCCACTTTGTGATGTCATGTTTTTTTGGGTTGTGCAATTGATAGCCAATTACCAACCAAGGTAACCCCCCCCCCCCCCCCCCCCTTATCACCTGAATCTCCTCCTAGAGCACCATTGTATATTTTTAAACCAATCACTTCATTGAGGGGCGTGTCTAGCAGCAACTCATTAGCATTTAGAGCTACAGACGCAGAATCAGCCCTTTTGAAACAGGGCTGAAACAGAGGGGTTTATGGGTAATGCTACAATGCACGATCTGTAGAGACATGTTTTTGATATATCCGAGACCTTTAATATATTGATGAAAAAGAGTATAATAGGGGACCTTTAATGGTCTCGTGTTATGTGCATAGCAAGTTTAGATGATATTGCTCTCTAAAAAACATACTTCTGGGAACTTCATATGAATCATTCCCAACTCCTCCACTGTGAGGATTCACCCTGTTTTATAATACTGACAACTTGTATTTCTTTATATTAATGTGATTTGCTCCTGCAGGTGAAAGCCTCTCAGCGACTCCTCTCCCCTCGTCTGCGAGGATCTCGGCTCTGAGCATCGTCGGAGAGCTCCTGAGGAAAGTCGGGGTAAGAGACGCTCTTGTGATTTTTTACCCAGAATGTATTAGCTGCTGACTTCTCAGCATGTGACGCTACAGGGCACCCAAAATACAAACAAGCACAAACCAATAATTGTTCTTCTTGAATAGATTAGAACATTTCCTTCCACGTGTCGGCAGTTAAATGCCATTTTCTCTTTTTTTTATTGAGGTTTTTCGATGAAGCTTTAAATCTCTATTGCCATATTTAACTTTTAGCTTAGAAATATGAACTCTCCGGGAAATAATCATCACATCTTCGCAATGTAAAATTGGCATTCTGTGTGAAAGTGTTTATGACAAAAAGAACAGTTAAACCTGGTCTTTGTTTATTTTGCAGCACTAAAACAATTCGGATTCGGTGAGTCTTTTATTCAACGGGTCAAGATCTTATACACTTCCCCGATGGCCACAATCACCACCAATGGACTGATATCACAATGCGTCACTTTACACAGGGGTACTAAATGTACCGTTTTCCATCAATTGGAAATCACGACACAAAAGCAATATCACAATTTGGAAAAACCTGCTTATGGAATGCATTTCAATGGGAAAATTATCTGCCGGCATAAAAAAATCAAACAATGATATTGATGCAATCTGGAAGCCATTCATTGATACATTTAATTAATAATCCTCAATCCGATTTCAGCCACCACCCCTTTCTACTTCTTTAAGGTCATGCTACTATTTATATGCCCCCCCCCTTCCTAGGATATATGACTATTATATTGTTACTCATTCCATTTTAATTATAATGTTGTCATGTATTACTCTTCTTGTCTGGTCCCCTAGACCAGTGGTTCTCAAAGTGGGGTCCGCGACCCCCCGGGGGTCCGTGGCACTCTGCCAGGGGGTCCGTGAAAAGTTTTCAGATTCATTAATTTAAATTATCATGATATCATTTTTTTTTCTTTTCAACAAATAATCTTTTTTTTTTTTTAATCTAAATATTTCATAGATTACGTTCAAATCTAACAAATAGATACATTTAAAAATCAAGCGCGTTACCGTGGAAACAACAATAACTGTTACGTCAGTCAAAGAGCGCCGCTGCAAGCATCATAGATATATAACACGGCTAGCATACTACGAAGATGGACAGATTTTTAAAACGACCGGTTACGGCTACAAATGAAGTAAATGAAAAACAGACAGGTCCACAGAAAACTACCGGTATGCTTAGTCCTAACTTACTTTAGTTACTGTACTGCAAAAAGCAGACGGCGCTGCGCTCAACACACAGACAGACTCAAAACCATGGACACACTGGCACATAAGTTACATAAACAATTTCTAGGCCTAAATTGCATAAGCTACAGTATTGCAACTAAGCAGACAGTTTTCTCTTTCTCTCTCTCTCTCTCTCTCTCTCAAACACGTAACTCACTCTCACTCCTGCCTGGTGCGCATGGCGCGAGAGGAGAGGGAGAGACGCAGAAGTGAGACTGATTACTTTGAGCAACATGCATGGGAATAAGTTACAATATAATACATTTGTGTATATTTCTCGCTATTCAGATGGTCATGGTGCTGCTGTTGCGCAATGTGCAGAAGTGTCTTCTTTTCGCACCATGACATTATCAGTTATGAATTTGTTTTTCACTGCTTGAGAAAACGGACTTGTGGCTGAGAGCGTGTGAAAAACGTCAATTGTGTGAGAGTTGGCAGCCCTGTGAACTCGCTTGACATTATTATGTATGAAACTGCCAATCAGATTTATTTACTTATTAATCGAAGGTGCCGGAACGCTGTTCTGGATCGTTCCGGCCCACTTTAACCCGTGTGTGTGTGTGTGTGTGTTCTGAAATGCACTTCAAATGATCACTTTTCTCTTGATTTCCCTTTGATATTTTCTTTAGGTACAGTGTTACTTGCAGCTAATTGATTGTTTTATGGGTATTCTGTGTTGAGATGGTGCAAATATTTTTAATACATATCCAATATCTTTCGAATACATTTCTCTTGTGTTGTTCTTTCACATAACTAAGACTATAGAAGTGTAAAAAATAGGCTACGTCAGATTATTCCAAGGGACATACAAGTCAAATCAAGTACATTTTTATTTATATAGCCCAAGATCACAAATCAGAATGAGGGGGTCCTTGGTGTATTCTCTATCTTGTAAGGGGTCCTTGGCTGAAAAACAATTGAGAACCTCTGCCCTAGACCAGTGGTTCCCAAACTTTTTGTGCCCAAGGCACACCAAAGGACAAGTAAAAATCTCAAGGCACACCTATTGTGCAAAATAGCCCTTATAACACGTGTTATCACTCATATCATGTAAAATATCTGTAAATGTGCATAATTATTTACTAATGCCAAATAAAATGTGACAAAGACAACTATATTACTCATGAAATATTTATTAACGAAATATTTCAGAAATTAATTTGAAACTTTATCAAATTAGGCTTCATCAAAGCAGCAACACACTCATTTAAACCAGACAGGTCACAACATTAAAAATGAGGCAAAAGAAATTCAGCACAGAACTGTCAATGCAAGGAAGCTGCATTGTCCATGGTCCTGAACTACAAATTATACATGTAACATTTCAGCAATCAGCATTGAAACATGTGCTATTGTAAATATTTTGCCGACTTACTTAGTGAGATACATGTGCCTGTCGGGGCGCGCAGAATTCTTTTATCCTTGGTGGCACTGAGGAGAGGGCCACTCACAAGTCCTGTTCAACAGAGCCGTGACCTCCTGTTGTTCTTCATGTAAATCATAGTAGAGAACGCCAACTCCAGAGATGGGGTTGTTACTAAAAAAAAGTAATATATTACATATTACTTTTTTAAAAAGTAATATATTACACTACTTCGTTACTATCTACATAAAGTAACTTGTTACTTTACTCGCCCGAGCACGTACGAACTGCGCATGCGTGAGTGGCAATAACTTTCCTTACCAGCAGGCGGCGGTAGTGTGTATTTGTCATTCAAAACAGGCAACAACCGGAAGACAGAGAAGAAGAACAGACTACGTGATATAAACAAACAACAAATAGCTTGTGTGGTAGCTTCACCTTAGCATGTGTTCTTTGCAGGTGTTTGTTGAGGTTTGACCACGTGGTGTTTACAGCAGTGGATAACAGCTTCTGGCCTGGACACAGTTTGCACCTCACCGTCACATTCCTGTCTATTCTTCGGACGAACTCAAAGTAATGGGCATACCTCCACCCCTCGAGAGTTATCGCTGACTCAGCCATGTTTATGCAGCACTGCACGTGGAGATGTGGACGGGCAAGTCGCGCAGATTTCGTACATATAAAGCTACAAAGTACTGATATAGTAAATACAAAAATAATAATTTTTTGTGTAGTTGTATATTGCAATAATAACGTATGGTTGTCACCAAATCCCACGGCACACCCGGACTTGCCTCACGGCACACCAGTGTGCCGTGGCACACCGTTTGGGAACCACTGCCCTACACACACACACACACACACACACACTTTTCTTTTGTTGTCTCCATGTATATGTTATTATTTGTCTTGTATACTTGTAAATGCTCCGTATTGTCTTCTGTGTATATGTGACACTGTACGTGTATGCACTTGTCTTGGAACTCCTATATCGCTAAATAAAATAATTATAATTAAAATAAAAGATACTATGATTGCAAAGTGAAGCAACAATTAAATAGACATCCAAAACAAAACAATCAGTGTCGCAATTAAATGTTTAGAATTTGAATATCAACATGAGTGAAGCCTCTTAGCTATTTGTAAAGTAGTGACATTTGATCCTTTTAACTGTAGTTTTTTATAATAAATTCTAGATTCTTCGCCTTGTTTAAATTTCTCCTCCAGTCTCGTCTTGCTGCAGATGAGGTTTATTTTAAATACTTCACCGTGATTCTAAACTCCAGGATCACAAACGTAAAATAACTTGAACCTGTTTTCTTCGCCTCTTGTAGAACCTGGAGTCCAAACTGGCGTCGTGTCGCAGGGGCCCCGATGGGGGTCCGGGGGCCACGCCCAGCCAGAACAGCTCCTCAGAGAGCCATCCTGCCAACGGCCTCTACAACAAGGGGTGAGGTTCACAGATTTAACGTTTTTTTGTCATATCTAAATCTTAAATCTATAAGGCATACAAATAAATACAGAAATAAAATAGTGCAAGAAACGTAATGGTGTTAATAAGGAATACATATAAATTAGGGCCGGGACTTTAACGCGTTAATTAAGATTAATTAATTACACAAAAATTAACGCGTTAAAAAAATTAACGCATTTTAATCGCACTTATTTTTGCACCGCGGAACGTTTCTCACTGGATGAGTTTCAGGCGTACCGATTATACTGGAGCACCAACTAACGTTCATGACTTCAGACAACAACAAACCACAGTGAACAACAGTGGGAAATGTTGTTTTAAAAAACGGACGGATGGAAGCGTCGATAAGAGCACGGTTGTGTGCAAATTATGCAAAAAGGAATTCGCATATCACCGCAGCACATCAAGCCTCAAGTATCACCTCAATGCAAAACATATAGCAGCTAGCGTGGAAGCTAGCGTGGTTGTTAGCCTGTTTTATCGCGTTCACACCAAAAAGAACCGGTACTAAAATTAGTTCATGAGAACCTTTTTACCCCCTTTTCAGTCCCTGCTAGAGAGCAGAGAGCTGCTAGAGAGCAGGGACTTTCGTGCGGCTCTCTTGTGAGAAAAGAGCTATATGTCTGAATCGCTGGGCGGATTGCAAACCACGCCCCGTAAAACTCCCAAAAAGTTTTGTGAATTTTATTATCCTCGCATTAGCATTATTAGCATTAGCCCAGCGCAGAAACGCAGAGACTAATTTATGGCAACACAAAATAAAACATGGGAGCGGTGGAGATGAGGAGGTGTCGGCGTTCTGGCGATTTACTCGGAAGGCTGCTGGGACTCCCTAATCCACCCCCAGGTTCAAAGAGTTCTCATGAACTAAGTTCTCATGAACCTTTGTGGGAAAAGTACTGCGGTGTGAATGCGCCTAATGGTATACTAAAATCCATGTGAAAAAAATTGCTTCTCACTGTTCTCAGGTCAAATATTTATATGTGATTAAAAATGCGATTAATTTCGATTAATTAATTACAAAGCCTCTAATTAATTAGATTAATTTTTTTAATCGAGTCCCGGCCCTAATATAAATACAAATTCAACACTGGAATGGCTGCCAAACATGTAGAGATTGAGATTTAAGAAACATTTGGAGGGGTATCTTAATATTTTCCAGAGCTGTACTCGCTTTTTTTACATCCCAGTTTTTTAGAAAGTACCAGTTGTGGAAGATGTACGCGCAAATAAAAGTACTGCATATACATGTCTACTTAAGTGACATAAGTATTTTTAAGTGTTATCAAACATATTTACATAAAGTCCAAATCCTAGGATGAGGAATGGCCCCTGGTCAGCGCTATATTACACTAATATTATATTTTCCGATCATTTGTTGCGGTATTAATGACATTTCAGTTCATATACTGTTGGGTAGTCATTTCTTGACAATGTTTAATGAAAGAAAGTGTTGCCGTGGTGACCTTTAATCTGAAAACGTTCTGACATACATTTACAACATATTCCCTCTAAATGTATTGGAATAAAAAGCAGCATGAAATGGGTTTATTCATTCCAGTACCTATAGGTTTACTTGAGCTCTGTATCTGAGTAAGCACACTTAGTTACTCTCTACCACCAGCCGACAGCAGTCCACTTCCTCTCATGGTTTGAGGGTTTCTTTGTATACCGTTCCATTGTAAAGTGTTTGTGTGTTTATAGGCTGGTGAAGAGGTTAGACTTCGGAGCGGGACCCAAGCTGCTGCTGTGAAACGTCTCTCCTTCCACCCTCAGCCCCCCCCCCCTGTCCATCCTGGATTTAACGGTACTGTGTTGCACGTCGTACAGACACTGGGATCAGCTGATGTAAACCAATGAATGTTTCTCTGGATACTTTGGATACTGTCACTGGCTCAAGTTATCACTGACTCTGTTTGTCAGCAGCGCTTCCTTCAGCACTCGCACTTAGCTTGAACTATTTGAACGGACTTGTGCTGCATGTCACCCCATCACTGTGTTTTTGTATTTGTGTGTCAAGACTGAACTCAAAGCATATTTTAGGGTAAAGGAAAAGTCACAAACGGATGCAGGGTTACGCTGAGACGAAGATGCATCCATGTTTGAACTTAGGGAGGAAAAAGCCTTTATTCTTAAACGGCGTCACTCTAACTATAACAGGGTTTCCCACAATGTTACAGATGAGAGTAATATCCAGTTACAAAGACAGAGATAAAGGCGAGAAGGCCACATTTACATTTGTCAATTCATCACGATTGAATTGAAATGATATTCTGCTTCGATACATATTTGCTTGCGTTAAGCCTTTAAAAAACAGCATTTTTTTCAATATCCTCAAAATACTGCTGTCCTGCTGGCTGCACACAAACAAAAGCTCACGCTATTTAATCCCTTTACTCAAATGAAGGGTTTTTATCTTTAGGGAGATGACATCAAAAGCTTGATTTGACATTTTGAGCTTATCTGAAAACATCAATAAAAGCTTTGATGTCAAAGAAAATCCGTCGGATGTCGTACTTGATTTACTTTGGGTACTAAATCTAAAACCAGGTCAACTCTAACATAACTGGATCTTAGTAATTGTCTTTTTTTTGTGAGTTACACTTGAAATTACTGTTAAAATTATGTTTTGTGGGGAAAAAATAATGATCTTGCCAACATCTAGTGGCCATCAACGGTTCTGCATCTTAAAGCTGCCTTATTTCATTTATTGTATACATAATGAATTAATGTGAGGATTTTGTACAGCTCTATGCGGATCTTCATTGAACTAGATCTGGTTGTATTCCTCATTCAGCTCAATGGTAACTGTTCAAGATATGAACATAGACTCTGAATAAGGAAACTCCTGTCGACTCGCTAATATCTGTTTTGGCTCTCACCAGTCTTTCCATATCTGTTATCTGCGATCGAGATACTTACATGTACCTTCATGACGCAGACGCCCAGCGCACACTCAAAGCTAAAAACCTGAAAATAAGCTGAGATAGAATAAAGGGCATCCCAAATAAACTAAATAATTGTGCACATAGAATAAGCGCCGGAATGAATGAATGAATATTTCACCCACAAAAAGATCCCTTGCATATTAATATCTCACCTCCAGTCACCTTTAATGAATACTGTCATGCGTCTTGATGAACTGAAGTAAATGGACACGTTTCATAACATCAAACTCTTCCACAACGTGTGCAGTATAATCCAAGTGTCTTTTATCTAGCTCCCTACTTCACAAAAACACTTGCAGGAGTGTCAGGGTTATGGTTGAATTATACGGTTTTAGCAACAAGTTGTACAGCTAGATAATGAGAATTGGATTATACTGCAAGGATTTCTTTTTAAGATATAATTGTATAATGTTACTGTATGTTGTTTACTCTGTCCCATTCTTTGATACTGTGTGTGAATGAACTCTGATGCAGCAGGGCTGACCCTCTGCAGAGCTACTTCTGGGTCTCAGGAGTGAAATAGGAAACGTCTCCTGTTAGCCAGGAGATATGAAAACTTCAGTGAAGGCTACTCGTGTTTTATGTTAAAAAGGAAAAGTATGTAATAGGTTTGAATTGTAGTGTTAAATAAACTGTACTTTGACTGTAGAGTCACTAATAAAGATGTTAGGTGCTCAGGGCAGACTGAACACTTTGTGATAACCTTCTTTTATATGTGGTCATTCATACATTTATTTTACTAGAAACAAACAATTCATGATGATAACATATTATAGAATGACTTGTAGGTAAACATTATTAATCATAATTGTATTGTTTGTTTATAGTAAAATAACTTGTTTGGGGTTTTTAATTCCAATGGTTATTGTAAATGTTTTTGTTCTTGTTTTTTCCCGTGGCCTCATTCTGATGACTGTTGAATAATACCATGATCTCTGTCAACCTTAAGTGCTGCTTATGTTTCTGAGAAAGCAATACAACTTGAAATGTTAATAAAATATATGAAGAAATCATCGTTTTGTTCCTTCTAGAAAGCCAAAAAAGAGAGGCGAAACATCGGTGAGGATTTTATTTAGCAGTTTAATAGCACTTCAGAAAGTCAAGCTGCGTCAAAGCACTCATTGTACAATGCACATTTATTATTATATTTGATATGAGGTTTAAATCACTCCGCCTAATCTTACAGTTGGTTATACAACATTTGGGTTACATGTATAGCTTTACATACAGTTTCCAAATGAACAGATCGTCTCTAAAATACTCAAGAAACCAGAGCAAAAGCCTCTTTTTCCAAAAATGATTTTTTTTAAATGCTTATTTTTATTTAGCTATTCGATTGAGAAACTATATTTTTTGCTGCATTCTTAAAAAATATGATTGAACCCTTTCTCGATTCCCCCTCAATTTTTAATATTAATCAACATTTTAAAAACTTTTTTTTTAAAAATGTAAATGCATAAATCACAATATATTGACTTTTCTTGTTCAATATGTTTTCTTTGTGTTTTACAAACAAATGTTTTCTGGTTACCTGGATGACAAATACAGCAAATTGAGAAACGGATAAAAAAAATCTGTTTATTGGGAAATAGATATATAAGAATAATTGTAATGTTTAGAAAAGTATTGTAGATTAGATTTTTCTGAATGACCGAGTAATATATTCATTTTTGTGGAAAGGTTACTTGTGGCATCATTATAAATAAATACAATTAAAATATATAAACTACATTTAATATAAAGACATTTTCAATATATTAAATTCACATAAAAAAAATGTGAAGATAATTTTGTGCGTATTTAAAAATGTTGAACTAAACCAGACCTGGATGTTCAACCGTGTTCAAATTGTTACTTTTCATTCATAAATCATGTTTTTCCTAACTCCAAATTATTTGTTGTTTTACTTTGAAATGAATTTGTTTCCATTTTGTCATAAAATATCTAAAACTCCTTCAAGTTATAATATAAGGAAACTATTTAAATAATTTAAATTAAATGTGTGAAATATTTCTGGCACAGGTTCTGCCATAGAAAAAAATATATTGTTGTGAATATGTATTATTATTATACTTTTTCCCAACTTGTTTATGTAAGTACCTCTAGAGTTTCCACATAAATCCATTGTGATATTCAAATATCTCTTCCACGTTATAATATAAGGCAACTTTATAAATAATTTAAATAAAAAGTGCGGAAATATTCCTGGGCCTCTACTCGTCGGGGGAGTAGGACTCCTCGCGGGGGTCCAGTGGGGGGGACGGGGAGCGGGACGGAGGCTCCTCCTCCTGCAGATCCAGCGAGTTCTCCTTGATGCTCCTCCGGCTGAGCCCCCCCCCCAGCCCCAGGCTCCTCATGCCTCCTCCTCCACTGCTGCTGCGGGGACTCGGGCTGCTGAACACCGCCTCCCCCCCGCTGCCACGCCTGGGAACACCCGCCACACCAGGAGGAAGAGGAAGAGGAGGAAGAGGAGGTCAGGAGGAGATTGAGGAAAGAGGAAGGCGGCTTATTGCAAAGCGAGTTTGAACAAAATAAAGGTTAAAGCCCGTAAAAGTGAAAAGAGAGCGATGAGGAAATGAGAAAGAGAAGTCCCGTTGAAGCAGAGAAGAATGTCTGCAGGAAGCTTTGAGGCAGTTTGCAGATCAGTAGTGTCTGAGGGAAGTGAGGCAGGACCAGAGGAGGAGGAGGACGACATTTAATAATAGCAAACATGTGCAATATTATTCAATATTTAAGAAATATTTCAACAAAAAATATATGAATATATATATATATATATATATAAACAAAGATTGTTAGGATTTTACATTAATACATTTTGTTGTGTATTTTTTTTATTTGGATTTCTCGGATTTGGTTAATTTTGTTTTAATATGTTACTATTTATTTTGTCGGGAAGTAGTTATTTAGTTATGTTTCTTTAAAATAGTTATTTTTTCAGATTTCTTAAAATAAAATGTATTTAGTCAATTAAAATCACAAAATAAATGTTATTTGATCTTTTTTTTTAAATAGTATTTATTTGGTTGTGAATTTTAATTTGTATTTTGTTATGATTTATTAAAGTAATATTTATTTTAATGTTAATAGTTTTTTAAATAAAAATCATTGTGATGTATGAAATAGCATTTATGTAACAGCTCCTCGTGTCCCTGCGGTACCTCAGTTTGCTCCTGAGTGAGGCCATGTCTCTGTTCATCGTGTCGTTGGCCTCGCTGGCCTCCTCCAGCTCCCTCTGCAGCTTCCTGCGAGCGGCGGCCACGCGCTGAGCCTCCTCCTCCGCCTCCTCTAGCTGGTGCTTCAGCTGCTTCACTCTCACGTTGCCCTTCTCCGCCTGCACAAAGCAGCAGCAACAAGTAGCATCAGTAAAGACAGTTACATGCAGCTTTACATACTTCTACACTAGCTTTACTTACCTGGTCTTTGTACTGCTGCGCCTGCTTACTCTCGTCCTCCATCTGGATGGTTAAATCCTTCAGTTTCTTCTCCTTCTGACGCACATTCTTGGCGTTGGACTGACGCTCTCTGCACAAAATAAATACAAAATATCACCAAATATTTATAAGATAGAATAAGATAACAAAAACCTGTATAACAATGTCATACTGTGCATGTACAATAATGATCTTTTATGTAACTTGGTTTCACTGCATAATTGTTAGTTGGAAATGAACTTGACAAACTCTGTATCCCACCATGCACCAGTACCTGCTCTCTATCTCCAGCTGCTCTTCCACCTCTCTCAGTTTGAACTCCAGGGCAGTGATGGAGGACTTGAGTTTGGAGCGTCCCTGGCCCTCCACCTCCTGCAGCTTGGCCTTCAGCTCCCGGGTCTGCCTCTCCAGCTGCTGTCGGGACGCCTCCTTGCTCTGAGAGGTGGAGCGCTCCACTGCCAGCTCCGCACCCAGCTGATCCACCTGCACACCGAGGGACAAGAGGAAAAGGAATTCACTCGGGGAGGAAACGCCTTAAACCAGTGGTTGAAGAAGTGCTCAGATGTTTTAGCAGTAAGATTAAGTTGTACAAATACTGACAAGTCACACTTCTGCATTTGAAATCTTACTTAAGTTAAAGTAGAAAAGAATTCACATCAACATATACTTAAGTAGTACAAGTAAAATTACTTTTAATTTCAGAATTTTAAATTTATTTTTTTTAAATATTGGATTATTTATGCATTAATGTTACCAGCAGGTAATGGGTAAGTAGGATTTAATTTATATAGCACTTTACAATACACATATTTATAAACACAAGACACGTATACAAATAAATACCTAAATAAATAGCAGCTCCTATAAAGATGCGCAGGAAAGATTCCCTAAACCCAGAAACAAGTCAGCTTTTTAGCAATTCCTTAATAAATGTGTCAGTACATAGTCAACTCTTGTAGCTTCTTTTGTCTTCAAAATGGCAGCTTCTTATGACACTGGCAAATATCATCACTATGACATTAGCAAACTTTAGCTTAGTCGTGGGGAGATGAAGTCATATGACCGTGCTTTAGTTACATTATAGCCTAGCGTTAGCTTTTTATTACTGGTGATTGCATTTGTGCCTCAAAAAAAGATATAACTGTTAGTATGTGGACAGTATTTTGCTGAACAAAACGTGTAAGTATCATAAACTCTGCTTTTTTTCTGCCACCCTAACCCACTAAGCAGTTTGCCTCAATGTAACATGAAAAGGGAAAAAAACATGGGGCCCAGGATTGAACCCTGTGGAACTCCGCAGAGTTAAAGGAGTATATGAGGACATCTTTGGCAACTTTAAAATGCCTATTTGATGAGCAGGACGACTAAACCCACTCCACTTTCTCCCACACCCTCACCAGCTGCTGGCTCTTTCTCAGCCGGTCATTGAGGCTCTCCACGTTGGCCTGCTCTTCCTCCAGCTCCTCCTCCATTTGGCTGATCTTTGCATCCATGCGGCGATTTTCATCAGACAGCATTGATCTGAAGAAAAAGGGGCGGAGTATCGAGAGATGAGCACAAACAAGAATGGAATGTTGGGAAGTAAATACAAAATAAGATGAAATTCACACAGTTTTAGAGCTAATTTGTATGATAACATCTTCAATGTAACTTACCATATTTTAAATTATTATCTTTTATCTCGTTTTACCTCACCAATAAAAAGATAAATTGTAAAGCTTTAGAACTGAATGAGGTCATTCTTATTTGACACAAACTCCAACACAATGCATTTAAACGGTAGGGCTAACACATGAACATCATAAAATAAAATATAAACATGTGTTCATCAAACAAGGCACTCACTTTCCAGAGGAGTTACTGCTGAGCTCATCAGCCAGCTCGTCTCTTTCTGTCTCCGCCTGTTTACGAGCTCTTTCCGCAGCTGCCAACATCTGGACAGACGGACAGACAGGCAAGACACACTTTTAAGAAGAGTGACCTTATGATCAAAATATGATATCAAAATCATATTGATGGGTAAATGCCTGGTAAATTATCACAATCACAACACATCCCCTCCAACCTGATTTTGAGTTCGTAGGAGCGTTTAGGATATTATTATTTGTGTAATTATTTTTTAATATAAGAGTTGCTCTCCTCAGCACGATGCTAAAACTTAGCAAAGAAAAAAAGGTGGTTTATTTCAAATGCAATCAATGTGGGCAAAAAAAGATGGTAACTGTACACTTAAAGGGGTAGGTAAGAATGGAGAAACCGGCTCGAGTGCGCTAGAATTTGAAAGTACGCAGCTGAAAAAAAGAGGCCTCTTCCTTCACACTTCCTTACAGAGCCCCTCCTCCAACACACACGAACGCGCACATGACCAATGAGGGCACGAGATAAGTTTGTGCACAGATGGAAGGCTGACAGGCAGGTAGGCCATCCAGTTACTTTAGCCGGGCCGGCTCAGATGATTGGTCGTACTTTTTACAGTACCACGGCTTCCAAGGATGACATTTTGTTATGGATTTTTTGTCAAAGCATTTCAGATATTCATTGCTATCGGGATGTTAAGAGCATTCCATGGAATATAA